ATGAGAAAGCAAAAGGGGAACGTTATTACCGGATAACCGATATCCGGTATCTGGCAATTTCACTATTCGACACATCCTTAATTGTAACATATACAAAATTTACATACACAAAACTTTTCAATAATTGGAGCACTATTGTAACAGCATATTCCTAAGACTAAATCAAGTAAAAAAGTCCTGTACTACTTTTTCCTCCGGCAAACATCGAGATATAAGCTAAACATTGAAAAAGTTATAAATTTTCTCTTGAATATCTCGAAAGTATTAGGCAAATCAAAAAATGTTTCAGACAAAAGTTGTTCATAGTAATTAGTAGAATAAGATAGTACAATAAACAATAGGGGGTTTCGTTAACAAATTGAAGGTAACCTTTACGTGACCTTCAAGCAACTGTGCAAGGTTAAATCAATGACATTATCTTATGTCCCTCTTAAAATCCAACAACTTTTGTCTGAGGCATTTTCCGCTATCACCCCTATCTGAGGCGATATTACCGTGTACGGATTAAAATGGCCCACGCTGTATGTGTGTGTGTGTGTGTGTGCGTGTGCGTGTGTGTGTGTGTATAGTATCTAAATATCATGTATAACACATTGGTCGAATCATATATAAATTAAATGTATATACATACGATTGGAATGAGATGGTCTAGCCTAGTCGGTATCAATCGTAAACAGTGCGTATGCGAATACGGACCGAATACGAATCTTACACGCTTCTAACAATCTCACATCTCAGAACGAAACAGTTCTTACAATCACATTGTCAAATGTCCAGAGAGAACGTCGACGGTATCTGTATACATAGATTTGTACGCACACATATGCCCTAAGCAGTTTTTTGGATCAATTCCAATGGCTACTTACTTGGCTAATTGGCTAATTGTAGCTTTGTCTACGTTGCTAATAATTACAGACGTCAGTCACAAAAGAATCGTAGAATTCGTCTACTATTGTAACTATATACCTAGCGAAATTTGACGTTTACAAAAGAACACATCGTGTCGTTACGAGTTTTTTCTTTCTTAAATAGTGTAACTCGGCGCTCGATAAAACGTTCCAACATTTAGAGTTCACAGTTTTTACTCCGACGTTGTTGTCACTTTTTGTCGAAAGAACTTTCTCGGGTGCCCGACTTCCGTCTGTGGTTCTTCGCTCTTCTTCGAGTCTCTATGAATCGCTTCAGAACATTAGAAATAAATTGGACCGGAACTTTCGCAAGATTACGACTTTTTACGAATTCGTCGTTGATGCAAATTTTTTATTGATATTTGATCGGAAACGATTATTGATTAATTCTTGAGGACGAGCGAACGAATTTCTCGAAATCGAGTTTACCGACGGTACAGCGGTGTTAATCAGTTATCAATTAATCAGTTTTTCGATTTTTGTTATAAAAGATGATATCGCGTCATTGTCGCGTCACGTAACGTTGTAGAGTGAAAGTAAAAAAATATAATTTTAAGATATATACATATATATGTCGATATACATACATATATTAATATCGAGCGTAAAGATCTGCAAAGATAAAATCCATATTTTCTCTAAACTTTTTACAATGCGTTAAGACACGTAAAAGATTGAGATCAATCTATGAAACGTACGTTCTTGAACAAGTTATTTGTCGAATACTTCTTCTTTGCTCTCGTGTCGCAAACGTGAATATTGTTAAATGCAAGTTATCAAAGTAACTCTCTGATCGCAATTCACCAGCTAACTTTATTCTCGCAAATTCACGAAATAAGCGTGTCACAATTAGATGCTTATTTATAAATTTCCTGTGAACGTCGTGTATATTAGTGTCGCTTAAATACATACGGTGAAATTTTATTTCATTCGCGTTCCACATGTACATTTACACGCACGCGCACACATACATACACATAAATACGCGAACAGATTATCCAAAGGAAAATACATTTAAGAGGGTCGGCTTAAGAGGAGGGAGTTAGAAGTGGCCTCAGCTGCGCAGCCTCCTCATGATCTCCGGAAACCTCGGGTTCACGATTGTTGCTTTTCGACTTTCTCCTCGGGGGTCTCGTTTGCGGATCCTCCTTCAAGTTCTCAAGATTGTCATCCTCATCGTTTCTCTCCGCTTTGGTTTCAATTTCTTCGACACTGCTCCAACTGCTCTCACTCTCGCTGAACTCTCTTTTCTTCATATTACCGTTTACTCTTTCCTTCTCTCTTTCATTCATCTCGCCAGTCTCCTGCATTTGCACAATTAATTGTGTTGGAAGTTGGAATTGAATTGTGAATTGAATTATACAATAATGAAGAGTACGAAAAGATAATTGCTTAGCTCCTTCATTATGATCACCATTAAAACTGCCGTTACGTGTTGCCAATCTTCAAGGGACTATTTTACTTTGTCGAACGGAAAACTTCAATTTTCTTCTTCCGATATTTTTTTAATTCGACAAAGTAGAATGTTCTCGCGAACAATTGCTTAATACAATTATGTATTGATAGTTGTGCAATCGTATACAATTTCACGTCTACCTTATCACTTACCATAGTAAGAGATTTAAGTAGCGTAGTGGTTGTTGTCGTGGCTGTAGTCGTATCCGTCGTATCGCTGCTCTCACTGTTATTGTTCGGCCTGATTGCAGTCGACAGGGCGCTTTCTTCTAAATTCTTCCCGCGTCCGTGTCGCGCACGTGACGACCAACCGTCCGAGTTCTTTGCGTTACTCTTGCTGAACTTCGGGGCCACTCCGGTGGTCCATACGCTTGCATCGCTGCTTCCTGTGCTGCTCTCGCTTCCGGTGCTGCAGTGCCGCCATCGACGTTCTATGCGCAATAAACGAGAGCTCTCTTAAATAAGGTCAAGCGGTAATCCAGGTAGAAGTAACACAGTTTACTTGGACTATTCATTTGCAAGTCTCCATATGAAACTAACGGCGAACACGTCTCAGCGGCATTACGCTGAAAGCTTAATTGATTTCTTTTCGCTTGTAGAGAGGCTAATATTATGTAAAATGCGAGACTTTTATAGTTGGAAGAAGAATATCCACGTCGGAAACATGAACAATAGGCGTGATAATTTTTGTAAAATCGCGAATTCTACTTCAGAATTGCACATGCGACTGAAGCAAACACTACAAACGTTAGTGTGACGTACTTTCGCATGGCGGTGCATTAGTATTGGAATTGAGGGATTTTCTCAGAAGGGGGCTGCTTCCGTCTTGGCTCTCTTCGCTGCACGCGCGCGTTATGAGGATCCTCGGGCTTCTCCTCGGGGTCTCACACATAGCTATGGAACATCCCGCGCCCAAATCCGCCCCGATAAAGTCGCTCCGATAATGGGGACCCATCAGACTGGCGGCACTCGCGCTCGCCCTCACCAATTTGCTCGGCTCACCTTAGCGCGCCATGATGAAAGGACATGATGCTCATATCAGTGTCGAAACGTTTGTCCATCAACGATTAAGAGGTCTTTCGATTTGTTTTACTAGAGATTCTTTCTTTTTTCCATAGAAATATTCACGTTAAAGTGGGAACTGTCGATTGCGAACTAACGATAAGGCAAATTAAGAACTACTTGAATACGATGGAAGCACGGATTGTATCTCGATAAAATGGTATCAGCGACAAGGATCGCGTACCTGATTCGGTGGTCGGCACTCTAAGAGTATTACACGATACGGCGGGTTGCAATCTGCCGCGCTGGAACCCCAGATTATTGCTCTCGAAATTACCCCCGGTTCTGCATGAGCCGAGGGCCAATAACGCGTCGCTGAGCCTTCGCTGTAACGGCGGGAATGGGAAGAAGGAAGCGTTTCCGCTGCCAGAAGGTCTCCTGGAGCCCGCGACGCTCGGTGTTCTCGCTTGTATCTCCTGGAACACAATTTACAGTTGCTCTCACGCTACTACATACGTTTATATAGGGTGTTCCAAAACTCACAATTGACTTTTGTTAAAAGAGGGTAAACTCCGGAGACAGAAGTTTCTCTGTCACATAAGGGGATCCTAAAGTCTGTTTTATCGACATTCTTTGTTAGAAGTAATCTTTCAATTGGCTTTATAAAACTCTTTTACGGAATTAAAGTACGCAGCAAAATCTAGACTATGCTGGTCGACTTTATATCAAAAACGAAAAAATTAAAAATTTTACTAAGTTTTGGTACACTTGACGACAATATTTGCTTGGTACAAGAATTCTACAATAAATATATACAAAATGAGACCAGCATACTCTAGGGACAACATATAAGAACAATATCGTGCAATTAGAACTAACAAGATTAATAGCCTAGAAAAAGATTTCTTCTAATAAACGCAAGTCCATAAATCCATGTCTAGAAGAAGAGAAAAAGAGCAGTATGACGTGTAGAAATAGTTGCAGGCCTTTTCGAGAAAGGTCATTGCCAAACATCTGTCAGATTGTCAGTAAAGCCGTGGTGTTGATGATGCTAGAATTCGATCCAAAATCTCGGTCTGAGCAATGTGTAGCTAATAAAATTGCTAATTTCTCGTAAAAGTTGCAAATTGATTGGCTATAAATTTCTCGGACCGAGCAGAACTTTGAATTAAAAATGTCAATAATTGATGTTTTTAATTCTGCCTCCTATCTTATCGAAACTGAGTGAGTTCGCCAGCGGCTTTAGGATCCCTGCCGACGGCAGTACCGGTGCAAACCGCGCGGGCGCCTCACTCAATGCCCGTATCCTCCCATATAATTTTGATCTTTATTGTTTTGCTTTTAAATAAATTGATGTGTCAGTTATTTTTAAAAATAAGGACGTTAAGTGTGTAGCTCCCCGCTGTAGTGTGCACGGGTTTGGTCGACTTAATTGTTAAATAATTCAATAATTTTACATTGCGAGCGCAGGAGAAAAAGAGAAATCGCCGAAATGTTTTTATCAAAAATACCGATAACACGTTTAATTTACAAACGGACACTGAAAACTTAAATGTAATATACGACTGTGTAATCAAATGTTTAGTTCGCATCACCTTGTATTGTTCTTAAGACATGACTAACAAATTAGTTCGAGCCCAGCAACCACAGTGCTCACACGTATACATATGTATATTTTATAACTCGATAGCTAATAAAATTACTAATTTCTCGTAAAAGTTGCAAATTGATTGGCTATAAATTTCTCGGACCGAGCAGAACTTGGAATTAAAAATGTCAATAATTGATGTTTTTAATTCTGCCTCCTATCTTATCGAAACTGAGTGAGTTCGCCAGCGGCTCGACTCTGTCTTATTCGACAACGATGATTGACTTAGGTGCGTTACTGAACTTTTAACTATTTAACTAAATCCTTTCTATTTATTAACCAACATTGTTCATAACTGCGTTGTTGTTGTTGATTTGCAGTATCACTCGAAAAGGACCCAAAAGAATAGGGTCGAAACGTTGCGTAATAAATTAATTAAATAATTAGCCAGTTGGGTTGACTGTACACTGAGAGAAAAATATAGTTATTTTTGGCCTCTATCCAACTATATTTTTCTCTCAGTGTAAGTTTCCCGCCTCAATCTTAAATAATTCAATAAATAAAGACCGGAGGAAAGAGCAACAGAGGACTTTCATCTTTGAAATGTACCCTGTTTCATCTGTTTAAAAGTTAATTATGAATTGTGGGACACCCAGTATATACGAACTTAACATGACACAAGAGTAATAATAACCGTAAACTGCGAAAATTACTATTGTCCTTCGCGTTACTCGACACTTAAGCGTCCCTTCACGAGCGCTCGTTTTTCTCGCGTTTCGTACCTGCTGCAATTCCGACTTAGTTGCCTTTTTCCGCCAGTAGTTCTGCACGGATCGTCGTAGGGTCTGTGATTTCAGGCCGTAGAGGAGGCCGTTGATGGGCGGCGAGCACGCGAGGAGGAGCGACGCTAAAGAGGCGAGCTTAGGAAGGCGGTGCTGATTACTGGCGCCGCAAGCTTCCCAGAGGATGAACCCGCAATACGGAAAGTAGAGCAGGTACAGAGAGCCGACCAGTTGCATCACCTGAAAAAGTCGTTTACGAAACTGTGACGAGAATTGACAGCAGCCGTTCAATCGCAGCGCGAAGCTATTTATCTTTATTTAGCGATTAATGCACACGCACGGATACGTTTGCCGCTATATCAAAGGTTAATTATGTTAGAAAGTTGCTAGATCAGGTCCTCGAATAGAAATTAAACGGTGGTCCATAATCACGAGACGCTACGAGCGAGGAAGTTTCGGTATGTACTTCGCCGATGCCTCCCAGCGTGGCGTCTATCGATTTGACTTGCTAACTCCGGGGCAGAAAATTAAATTATAGATTAGTCTTGAACTACGGGTGCTTTTCATTAGCCTGATTAACTTAAATCGAGTAACTCGACAAAAGCTAAGTCGGTTAGACATTCTTGTTAAAGAGGAATTGACTTTGATCGCGAAATTGTTAAAGCCACGAATCCAAGAACTGTGTCAAAGTTCTAGTTTCGAGAACTAGAACTTGGATCAAGTTCTAGCATCGTGGACACAGGCCTTTAGATCGTGAACACGAGACTTAATAGGGAGTATGATTTATAAAAAATGTCATAATAATAAAAAAGAGTACATCTTCGGAGAGGTAGGCGTTAAAGCGCGCTACGTAATAATTTTGGGTGAGCAAAATGATAGGCGAGGACTGGGCCTGGTCAGCTCTTCCTGAGCTGTCCAGGCCCACACCTGACACTTTTCTCGTTTGCCCACTGACCTACTCTATTTCACCGAATAATATAAATAAAATTAGCAGCGCGATTCTTGGTATCGCGCTCGATGATTTGGTAAACCACGAATGCAGAGGCCACACCAACAAAGTTTACCCTCTACAACGTGATTTGGAAGTGAAAAGAAAAAGTCATCTAGACAAACCGTGCTGGCGGCACTGTGAAATCGCGGCGGTCCGCCGGCGGAGGGTGCGGTGACGGTTGGCACGAAGAATGGATTTCGTTGATGCGTGATGGTCACTTGGGCGCTCAGGGTGACCTCGTAGATCGCGCTGGCGATGCGGTGCCGATGATATCGTGCTATACCCAGCACGCGTAAATTGCAGACCGTAACGAGGACAGCTGGCAGTCCCAGGCCCAGGATGACGTAAACAGCGCCGTAGACCGCCGCGGCGTATCCCCAGGTGCCGTTCCCGAAGTCCAGGGCGCAGCAATCTAATTCTTGAATATACCTGATCGATACAGGATATTGGGAAAAAAAAACAGAAAAAAATTTGACTGATGGATGAGTGTGATCTCGCCGGCGATTCTTGCTATGTTCATGCGCGTGATTCAATGTGACAGATTTGTTGAAACAATTTTTTCGTATTCCCAGATGGTACAGGACATCCTATGGATGTTCATTTTATGTCCATCCGCACGTCCATGGACATGAAATGGACGTCGATGGTACATCTCATTTCAGACATCCGTCAGTGGTGAATCTTTGGACGTCTACAGGACGTTCGGTCTTGGACGTTAATGTTTCGCGCGAGTTATGTCTTTTGTTTCTCGACTGTCGATTTATCGAAGAATGATTGGCTATCACTTTCATATATGCCGCGCGGTAAACTTTCCGCGTCCTGTTGTGCAGAAGCCAACAGTTTTTGCAATATTTTTCTTTTCAAGATTTATTTAAATTACGTTTTTCACTTTTATGTTATATAATGCAATATAAATTATAGATAAAAAAAATGTATGAAGCATTTATATTTTATTAAATGAGATGTCTTAAACTCTAATTGTGATTGAACTACATATTGTGATTTAAAGTATTAGACTTGATATTTATAATAAATATATTTAAATTTTTAATTTATTATTGCTCATAAACCTCTCCTTTATGTAATTTTAAATGTTTATTTTAGTAATAATTTTGAATAGTAGAGCATTGGAAATGACGTCCATTTTAGGTTCTTTTATGGATATTTTATGGACATCCACATTTGTGAAAAACAGACATCCTGTTGACTTCCATTGGATGTCCGTCGGACTTTATTCAGATGTCTTACGGACGTCCTGATGTCTGATCTCGAACATCCAATGGACGTCCATAGTAGGTCCATGTACTATCTGGGTTGTTACAATCCGCTCCATTTAACTTGACTAACTCGCCGGCGACAAAAGCTCCGCTCTGAATGGGGAATTCTTTCGGGTGTACGCGTCGCAGAAATTGTCCTCGCAGCGCGAGCCTTTATGCGACGCGAAACAGCTTACTTGAGACGAAGGGACGGAGCACGGAGTAAATCGAATCTCATTCATTACGCGAGGAAACGCAGCAATTGCGAAGCAGTGTCGTAAAACGTGCGAACAAACGCTGCATTTAATGGTGCAACGTGTATATACAAACCTATAAGGTGGCACCAGACCCGAGAACGGCGGTAGACAGAGGAGTAGAGCGCCCGTCCAAGAGGCGGCCAGCCCGACGACTACGCGGCGCGGCGAGACCACGGCGGTGTAGTGCAGCGGTGCGGCAATCGCGTAATACCTGCATAGAGATGATTGCGGGGCATGATTGATGGAAATCTACAAGATGTAATTTAGATACTGGCGTAGGATGGTCGTTTCGCATTCGGCCGAACGTGTTTAACTCTTTCCAACTCATCAGTCCCGGCTTGTCGCTTAATTGGATTAAAGCATACGCACGGCGACACACGTGCACGATGCTCGATGAGAAAAATTTGCGAGAATACGAACGCTTCGCGGGAGGCGATCGCGGGCGCAAGTCATGAGGAAGTGAAAAACGAGGTAGTTTAAATCTGTTTAAATTGCTGAATAAAATATTCCGTGGTCGATCGAGCCACGGCCGGGCCTGGCATTGCCTTTTGCGGAGGGAAAGAAAGAGAGAAGCTCTCTACATTCTCTCGGACGCGTCTTCCGTATTTTCTTAAAAGGTTCCGCGCGACGCGATGGAATTCATGGAGATTCTCGTGCAGAAAGAGGACGACGAAATTCTTAACAAAATTTTCATAAAGCGCTTTCAAACGATGTACCCGAGTATATGATATTTATGTCGAATAACTGACGAAATTATTCCGGTTGACACAATCTAGGCTCGCTTTTGTACCTCAAAAATCACGCGGCTCTTAACACGAGAGGATAAGCAACAAGTAGAAACGGAACGATGAGATTCTGGAACACAGACTGTATCGAACGAATGAATCACGTCGTCTGGCAGCTATGGCGATATTGTTTGAACATGCGAGATTCTTGTTTGACGTCCTACATCGGATATCTGGTTGCCTTTTGTATCGCTTGAAATCAAAGCCTTGTACATATCGCTCGTTACACATATGCCATATATCGAGATTTTTTTTATCGAAAGTTTCCACAAGAGGAACTCCTTCGAGCCTCTCAGGCTCCTCGTTCTCGGTTTACTGCAGCAACAATGACGTTCTTCCTTTCGCCGACAATTGTGCGTAATGGTATCTCACAGTGGATGCACCGTAACTGAAAATGCGCACGTTGCTTGTACTTTGAATAACGTAAAAAGTAATGTGAAAAAAGTTGTCGAGTAATTACCAGTAAGTGTTACCGCGGGAATAATTTTATCGAATCGTTTTGCTAAACATTTCGATCGGAAACACGTGGGGTGCGCATTCAAATGGCGCAAAGCGAATATTTTAAATGTGCATCGTATAAAACGCAATATTACGCGCGATTGATCCGATGATAATGATTAACAGACGTCCCTTTGCGCGCATCCATTTGCAAGTCCTGACGCATCGATTGCCATTTAATAAAAAGTCAGCTGTGTGTATCGTCCGTTCCGCTACGAGCAAGCGAATTCAACGGGAAACCAGGAAATTGATTTTTATTCAAGCGGAAGTTTTCAATTCGTACTCAATACATCTTTGTATTGAATCCGAATGTTGAATAACGATATTAGGAAATGATATGTAGTTTTTCAAAAACGACCTACACTGGCCAATGTTCTTATTTAAAAAACAAACGACGTTTCGGTCCCGGATTTGGACTCTTTTCAAGTAATCTGCAAACGTACATAACTTAACACTAAATATTTTTCAAAAATAATTACAGCGAAAGTAAATTGCAATTCTATACCTTTTCACACAATTGTTATTGATCTTATATCATTTGTTTGGCCAATATCGTTATGTTAATGAGCTGTGTACATACAAGCAAGAGAGTCATTACACTTTATGTTGTTACGAATTAATAAATGTCAAGAATGAATAAAGATAAATAAGAATAAATAAGAATAAATGAAAATAAATAGGAATAAATATGAAATGAATAAATAAATAAATACACTTACATATTGGTCAAAAAATGATTGCGCTCCTTGGTTAAAGAGTGCAGAGTCAATAGAAGTTGCATTGTTAATTGTACGACACGAGTAAAAATATCGAGAGATGTGTGTTAGACGAGATGTCGGATCGAACTGACAAGTGACATGTGTTGGACGAGAGATATCAGGTTGAACTGTCGGTATCGAATAAGACGAATGAGAAAAATAATGAGTGCGCGATAATTCCTAATATAAACAATACATATCAGAATCACATGTATTCTAACACCTTATCATATACGGGATTCAAATTTTCAGTATCCCTTTTTAAGTTGATAGCGTTCTTTTGCTTTTTTATAAAGAAACATCTCAGCAATTTCGTATTTCCGTGTGTGTTTTTCATTGTGTAAAATTTCAGGTTCTAACTATTCAAAGTCGTGTTCATAAATTAACTGGTGCTTGCTTACTACCGTTAAATTACTTTCGTGTTTTTTTATGTCATTGCAATGTTCTTTTACTCGTGTTTCGAGATGTCGCTTGGTTTGTCCTATGACAACTATATTTGTCACTCGTCAGTTCGATCCGACATCTCGTCTAACACACATCTCTCGATATTTTTACTCGTGTCGTACAATTAACAATGCAACTTCGATTGACTCTGCACTCTTCAACCAAGGAGTGCAATCAATTTTTGACCAATATGTAAATGTATTTATTTATTTCATATTTATTCCCATTTATTCTGATTTATTCTTATTTATTCTTATTTATTCTTATTTATCTTTATTCACCCTTGACATTTATTAATTCGTAACAACGTAAAGTATAATGACTCTCTTGCTTGTACACAACTCATTAACATAACGATATTGGCCAAACGAACGATATGAGATCAATAACAATTGTGTGAAACGGTATAGAATTGCAATTTACTTTCGCTGTAATTATTTACGCTATATTAAAAAAAACGTATTTAGTGTTAAGTTATGTACGTTTGCAGATTACTTGAAAAGGGTCCAATTCCGGGACCGAAACGTCGTTTGTTTTTTAAATAAAAACATTAGCCAGCATAGGTCGTTTTTTAAAAACTACATATCGTTGGTTTTATATTAGTGGCAATATTAAATCTATTTGTGAGATATTAGGAAGGCAGAGCATACATAGGGTTTGTTTTCTGTTCCTGCACTGGTGAACTAGTGCAGTAAGCTAGAATGAGAAAAAATATGCTTGTCTTACTCCAATTTATTGCACTAGTTTACTAGTGTAGGAACAGTGAACAAGCCTATATGCGAGATTCACCTGTCGCAGTTTAATCCGGTGACGGTCCACAGGGCGACCGGGTGTAACAACGCCAGTAGAAATCCGTAAAGGACGCACCACGCACTTGCGTCCGACCACGTGTTAGTTGCCAAAATCAGGAGTATCAGGCACACTGCCGCTTCTACGGCGCCCAAGTGGATCAGCAATAAAGTGTTCGCCGTCTGCTGTTGCTGCTGCTGCAGGCATTGTGGTCCCGGGCAGAACCAAAAGTCATTTAAAAATCAACATGACATCAAAAAGTTATCATTTCCAGAAAGTCGAGATGATACACTTTTAATGAAACATAATTTGACTTTTTTGACTATTTTAATCTCTCGATAACTTTTGCTGAGAGAACGCAAATCACTTGTGTATGCAAAATGACAAAAATTTCGCAGAGATGATTATATTTTACGAATTTGTGAAAATATTTGACTTTTGAAATATTGATATCCCGATTTTCCATTCACGAGATACGAAATAAAAGCTCAAGAATACAAATATCTTACAAAATATTGAATATTGAATTTTATCGTACAAATCCTATTCTTATCAGACTAATGTTCATTTTTGTTAAAAAAACATTTTGTATCCATTACTATTCATTTATTAGCATATTTAAGGCCGATATATCTGTATTGGAAATAAATTATATTAAACAGCATCTCATTTCAAAATCATAATTTGATCAATTTTCTGTCGTGATCAAAATATGATTTTTGATAGTCCTTATGATGTTGTTTTATCCTTTGATGTCATTTTGACTTGATTATGATTTTTTGCTCTGCTTGGGATGTCGAATCTATCGCTCGATTCAAATCTGTCGCGTTATCGCGAGTCTAAATGCCCGGGCGCTTTGCAATTTAAACTTTTAACAGGCCGATACGACAACCGCAATTACGCTCCGTACCACGCACTCCGTTGGCTTTATCACTTAAAATTCTGAATTAAGGTTTTGTCTGACTCTCTCCCCCTTTCTCTTTCTCTCGCCTCTTCTCTTTTGCACGCGCGATTAGAATATTGGACGGTAAGTATTTCGAAAACTTGGGAGCGAGTAGAGAAAAATATATCCGCGCCGCTGTTTGTTGTAAAAAGAACTCATGAGTTGTATCCCGACAAATAAATCGTTTGAGTAAATAATTCGAACATATATGCTACTATCTGGTGTATGTATTTTTTTCGAGGAGTTATTTTTTCCTTTTTCTCTCTTTGCAATTCGTAGTTGCAAGCCAGAGATACGCTTTCAGCGGATATCTGTTAATATCACGAATTCTTTAAACAAAATGCCAGGAAAGTTCATACTAATTTACACTCGGAAGAGCGGTCCACATGCAAACGATCTCCGAAATCGTCATTCCTGACGTGAGCGTTTGGAATAATTGCTAAAATGATTCGTGCAAATTCGCGGTAAACTGTTTGAAATTATCTAGTCGCATTTTCATTGAAAATTATTCTGATTCGCGAAGAGAGCGTCAATTACATGATTGGAAAGTATATAAAAGTAAAGAAACAGAAAACGATAGACAGAACAGAAGTACTAAATATTATACATAATTTATTATGTAATTACTGTTCACCTGTTTGCTAAGACCGAGAACGACGAGGAGAACGTAGCCATTTAACAGAAGACCCAGAGTTGATACAAGGATAAGAGGTGCGTTAAAGGCCCAAGGGCCCATTCCTCTTCTTCCTTCCGCGTACTTAATTTTTCTTTTCGTTCAGGATTTCTTCTTAGGCGAACGAAAAAACCTAAGTAAACTTGTCGATTTCGTTGGGCTTCCGGATTTCCTTTTGCGATGTCATAATGATAGTCATAACTGAAAAATCAAAAATTCATATATAAATATGTTCACATTAATATTGTGTAAGTAAAATTATGAGAACTATCATTCTCTAAATATAACACAGGCTTGCAAGGGCAAGAATCCTCAGTGTGCCATTTCTCGCTTCTAATCACAATCCAGCATGGCTTTAATGAGTACCCACGCAATGTTACATCAATATTTCAAGAATATTGTGAACAATTTTTTAAATTATTTTATATATAATATAGTACTGGCCAAATATTACATTTTGAGTTTTTGAGCATAACTGGTTTCAAAGTACGTACGAAAAATTCGCAAATCATGATGCATTTTATCAAATTTCATTGCCCTTCATGTACAAGATGCACCTGTTATCAAGTGTGTACTGTAAAATAATAAGCACCCCATACTTTTAGAAAATGAGGTGCTAGCGGTCCGATTAAAAAATTGTTTAAAAATGTTTATCGGCCGGAACTATTGCTAAAACGTATGAAAATGGTCGGAACTATGCTAGAACTGTTGAGAACTGTCAAAAAACTGCTCAGAACTACCAGCACCACATACTTTAAAAAAATAAGGTGCCAGCGGTCAGATTGAAAAATTATTAAAAAATGTTTATCGGCCGGAACTATTGCTAAAATGTATGGAAATGGTCGGAACTATGCTGGAACTGTCGAAAAATGTCAAAAAAATGAATCCAAACAACCAGCACCCCAATTTTAGAAACCACTTTTAGAAAATGAGGTGCCAGCCGTCAGATTAAAAAATTGTTTAAAAATGCTT